TTTCTGAAATGTGGGGAAAACAGGTCTCAGAAAGAACACGGGGAAAACACTGAAAAAATGGGACAACAAGGGATTGGTAACAAAGTTGTGTGGAAATGACAAAAAAAAGGATAACAAAGGAAATGAAACTGGAACATTATGGCTGTCTGGAAAATGACTAAATTTCTTCCATATTTGGGGTGATTTAGGGTGCTTTCATTTAAATGAATCCAATCTAGTTCAGGCTGTTAGTGCAGCGTTTCGTGTAGAGTATATGGACACAATTCAACATTTTAGAACAGCCACATACAAATTTTGCCTAGTTGGTTAACTGTGTCCTATGTTATAATGTTTACTGTCCTGGTTTCCTTCCTGTCTTATCATACAAAGTATTTCATGTACTTTTCTTTTGTATTGGTCAACAGGATGTTATGGCTGAGATTGTGACTCAGTTTCAGGTAACTCTGTTATCTGTCACAAACTTAGTGCCCGATCAATACTTTGATGCTTTCACTCGTCCTCTTATTAACAACAAAATTGAAGAGAAAACTTGTGGTGAAGGTCCAAGTTTACCCATGATGTTTAAAGATGATAAACACCTGCAAAATATCATCTTCCAAGTAAAGGTACAAAATGCACATTTTTTTGAAAACCTTACATTTATTATATTTATTTCATGTTTTCAATCTGAAAATGTTTATGCCTGTTTCTTTTTGTCTTGGAATGTGCTGGAGGAAGTTTATCCTAGCACTGTAAGTGGCAATGCCCCTAAATATTGCTGGGACAGAGAGACAGGGTTGCTCCACCAACTTTAGCTTAACAAGGACAAATAAAGATGAACATAGTCTTTTTTTAATTGCCTAGCAATGTTCCTTAGGCAGTAAGTACGTAATACAGAGACAAGGTGGCTAGTGAGCTGAGCTTAGTGAAGAGCCACAGAGAGAAATGCAACTCACATGAAAATAGCTAGCCATTACATTTTATTTATTTTCCTCACTAGCTAAATAAAAATGGTAAGGAAGCTTTGCTTGGAAAACTGAAGGGTAAAAACACTGGATTGTTTGTTTAAACAATTTATGGCCCACCTTTCTATTAAAGTATACACCCCACACACATTAGGTGACTGTAGCCTATTAGTTTCTTAATGGTATTTTTAGTTTTATCAATTTCCTTATTGTTGAGTTGACATAAGCTTCCTTGTTTTCATTTTAGGAGCTTTTCCTACATTTTTAGAAAGCTTCTACCTTGTCTTTCTTCCAGTGGGACCCAAGGTGGTGTTGTAGGACATAGCAGGAATAGCTGATGCAGCATCCCGTCTCAGGGCTTTACTTCCAGAAACAGAAAAAACAGTGCCTCATTAATTTACGGAGGTGCTCTGCAGCATTCCTTGCATCATTTGTCTAAATATGAGGAACACTGTCTCATATACGGTTGCGTACTCACTTATGAGTAAATCTGTATGTGAGTAGGAACTCCTGCCTGCTGTTTGATTTATTGTGTCTCTTGACCTTTATTATTCCTACATGGATCTTGGTGTACATTTGTAGCGCAAAAACACAAAGATTAACTGGAATAAAAAGACACATTGATAGATGCTAAGAGTAAATTAAACAGCCTCAGAAATACCTGGAGGATGCACCCGCTCTTAACCTGTGCTGCTCCGACTTCAGGCATGTCTTTGGAATTAGAACTGGGACAACTTCAGTTGCTTTGGTGGATCATCTTTGCTTGCAGATGGACAAAGGCAATGCTTCGCTGCTAGTTCTGTCAGATCTTCTGGCTGCTTTTGATTCTGTGAATAATCAGATATTATTAGATCACATGGGTAAAGTGATAGGGGATTTCAGAGACCCTCTGATGGTTTTGGTCTTTTTAATTGTCAGAGTGTATACAGTGAGTTCCATCAGAGATGCTGAATCATCAATCTGGGGCTTGGGTTCCCAGTGTTCCCCAAGGTTCTATTCTTTCACTAGTGCTTTTTAACATTTATGTTCCACTGTTAAATGGGATTAAGGGGCCATGGTGGCTTAGAGGTTAAGACGCTGAGTTGCAGACCAGAAGGTCTGTAGTTCGGCAGTTCAAGACCCTAGTGCCGCGTGATGGAGTGAGCTCCCGTCTCTGGCCCCAGCACCTGCTAACCTAGCAGTTGGAAAGCAAGAAATTGCAAGTAGATAAATAGGTACCACTTCGGTGGGAAGGTAACAGTGTTCCATGTGCCTCGGCGTCTAGCCATGCCAGCCACGTGACCACTGAGAAGTCTTCAGACAGCGCTGGCTCTTTGGCTTGGAAACGGAGATAAGCACTGCCCTCTAGGGTCAGATTCGACTAGCTTTCAAGCAAGGGAAACCTTTACCTTGTATCTTTTTATTAAATGGGATCACCCAGAGCTGTGGAGCTGGGTGTCATCAGTATTCAGATGGCACCCTGCTGTGTCTTTCATTAACTAAGCCCCCATAAGGAGCTATCTCAGTCTTAGGCCTGCTTCTGAATGCTACGGTCAAGTGGATAAGGATGAATAACCTGAAACTAAATCTGGAGGGGGGGGAAGAGAAGTGATGTTCGTTGGGAAGCTGGTGTATTGTCTAGGATTGATCTGCCTATTGTAGAGGGGTAAGGGCAGCCATTCCTAACAGATCAAGTGAAGAATGTGGGGCTGCTCAGAGACTCAGCCTTGCTGATAGAAAAACAGGTTACAGCAGTTACTAGGAGCAACTTCTTTTTAAAAAAATATTCCTTATTGATAAAATGGCATTCCTCCTGGACTCAGCTAATCTGGCCACAGCGCTCCTATACTTCTAGAGCTTCTAGACTAGATTACTGTAATGTACTATATGTGGGGCATCCCTTGAATACAGTTCGGGAGTTTCAGTTGATTCATAATGTGTCACTCCATCTGAGACCAATCACTATGTGCATACCCTGCTAATATTAGAATAGCAACATGGCCTATCACTATACTTCTGGACTCAATTCAGAGTGTTGGTTCTTCCTTTAAACCCCTTCATGGCCCAAGGCCCACATACTGGCCTATTCCTTTACGAACCCGTGTGCCAACTCTCCTTACCTCAGCAATTTCTTCTTACAGTGTTCTTTTGGCATTAGATAAGGACTAGTGCAACTTGCTCAGGAGCTTTTTCTGTTGTTTCCCCTGTCCTAAGGAATGGGCTCTCAGACACTGTGCAGAGGGCTCCATCATTACCAGCCTTTGGAAAGGTTTGTAAGGTTGTGACATTTGAAAAGGTTCTTCTCTGCGGTATTTTTAAATTTGAAATTGTTTGATAGAGTGATCTGTCGGGAGTGTTTCCATTTTACAGAGGGCTGCCTAGCATGTCTAGCACGCTCCATGGGTCTGTGTTGTGGTGTGACTTTTTTGGATTTGTGTTGCACACTAATTTTGCTTGGCCTTGACATTTGTTTGCTGTGCAGATTAGATTTTATTATGTCTATTCTATTGCCTGCTGTTGTGAGCCGCCCTGAACTTTGGAGAATTTTGAAGTAAATAAATAAAAGACATTAAACGGAACTTTGGAGAATTTTGAAGTAAATAAAGACATTAAACAGGGGGGAAGGGCAACTGTATGGATGTATCTAAGATCATTACAATTTAACATACGTTATTATTTAGGAGACAGTTTCGTTGGGATTTGAAGCAGCCAACATGTATGCCGCTACTTTTGAAAAATTCCGGTTATTTTTCAAAGAAAATGAAAGTCTTGATTTGGTTGCTCTAAAGAAGGAAGAACCTGGTAAATGTTATTTATTTGTTACCAGTCAGTAGATAATACAAGTTGTATGATACAGGTTGCATTATTCAAGGATGCTTTCACAAAGTTTATACTATGGCAGTTTAAAATGGCAAGTATTATGGATCAAATTCCTGTTGAAGGCTTCCCCCCCCCAACCCCCTCCAACATTGGCTTGATAGCAACCGCCATGAACAGAGTGGAGTTTATAATAAGGATATTTGCTGAACCTTTTCCCCAAATCCTTCAAAAAGTGACTGTTGAGAATGATGTGTAATGGGGCAGGGGTGATGCAACCTGAAGGAGGGGGGGTGCATCAGTTTTTGCCTCCTCTTGTGCAAATGAAGTAAGATCTCCCAGAAGAGGTAAATAAAAATATCAGTTAGAAGCAAATCTTTACCTTGTGCACAATTTTGCAACATAAGTGGTTCGCCTATCTTTTTGTGGAAAAGAATTCTGAGAAGGTTGGGGCCACTGCAGAGACAGAACATACTTTGATTTAACTTGGTAGAAAGATGGAATTGTCAGCAGTCCTCACGGATTGGACTTTTGGTGTTTGGGCTCATAACGGGGACTCTTGACATCAAATATTGTGCGGTTTGTCTCTGACTGTGCAGGGAAGGAAGAAGGGGATTTAACTCTTAAACTTCCACCTAATTTCTCTATCCAAAGTAAATCCCCATTAGCATTTTAAAGAGGTAAAGAAGGGCACATCTTTTCTCATTTTAGTAACAAAATTGGGAGCTGGTCTTGAACAATGTGCGGATATTGAAGGATTAATCTCTTTGTCTCTCAGCTGCATTGCTTTGAGGGAAACTGAAGGTTCCATGTGTCTGCAGTTCACTTGTTATGGGTATATGCTTGTGCCTGAGCCCTCAAAGGTACTCCTTCCGCTATATTCAAAGCAGCATGTGTGTCCTAACAACTGTATGTTTTTCCCCCCTTAGCACCTGACAAGCCTTGGCCACACCTAGCTGGCCTCATACACAGCAAATAAAGTTGCCATTTCTTAGGTTTGTTTATACCATTGCAGAAGGCAGAGATAGGAAAGAAAAGGATTCTGTTCAACCTCTTTAAAGGATGCTGTTACTTACCCTTGATTATTTCATTTTTAAATGCTTTAGTTCTAATGTAGGCAAACAGTTATGTTTTCTTATTTTTATTAATGTGCCTTTTCCTATGCCTCGTGTGCCTGACCTGGATAGCCCAGGCTAGCCTGATCTTGTCAGATCTTGGAAACAGGGACGGCCCTGGCTAGTAATTGGATGGGAGACCTCTAAGGAATACCATTGTTATGACGTGGAGGCAGGCAATGGCAAACTACCTCTGAATGTGTCTTGCCTTGAAAACCCTAAAGGGTCGCCATAAGTCAGCTGTATTTTGACGTCTAAAAACATGCCTAGCGTACAGCATGAACAGTGCAGTCCTATAATAATAATAATACCTTTTGATTTATTGATCGCTCAATCCGGCAGAGCTGCTGGCTCTGAGTGATTTACAGTTACACGGTTTCACACAAGGGACTAACAATTTCATAGGGGTAAGGGAGAACAACATATAATTCTTTAAATCACACACACTTTGCAGCCGACGGGGATTTTTGTTCAGCTGTAGGCTTCAGACGTGTTCCGGAGGCATTCACTTTTCGGCTTGGCTTGATGACGTTGGTTCTTCCTGGGCTGCTTTGAATCGTAGTGCCGCACTGCCACCGCCTGGCTGGATTGGGCCATTACGGGCTTCTTAATGCCGAAGTGGTCTTTTTATCAGGCATACGAGCTTACGAGCTGGACATTCCATTCGCCAGCTAACACCTCCCCTACGGGGTTTTTTAGTGTGCCCACCCTCTCTAAGGAGTGGTACCCATTTTATCTACTCGCTGAAGCTTTCGAACCGCTGGTTGGACGGCGAGCTGGGGACAAGGCTGGTAGCTCACACCAGCGTGGGCTAGAACTGACAGCAACTCTGTTCAGTTCAGATGTTAACCAGAGGATAAATAAATAAGCAGCAGAGTTACTCCTCTATAAGCCTGTTGAAATCAGTGAGCTCAGACTGGAGTAACTCTGTGTAGAATTGCACTAAGTGTTATAACTTGAATACAGGCTTTTTCTAATGGACTTATTAATTTCATTTTTATTCTGCCTTTCTTGTAAGGAGCTCGGGGCAGGGGGGTCACATTCTCCATCCGCTCCCCTTTATCTTGAACAAGTAGATTAGTCTGAGAGAGGGGCAATGAGCTTACATGAGTGACCAAACCACTGCATCACATTGGTTCACTAAAACAAAAAGGAACGCCTTTCATTTATGGGTTTTTCCTTTCAAAATTGCATACGCTGGGAAGATGGTCTACAGAGACATTTGGACACAGTTGATAACTATATTTCTCATTCTAAATTAAACATACAGATGTTAAATTCTTTGCTGAACAAATGGAGAAGTATCACAGAGAGCACAAGGAAGCAGTGGCCATAAGGCAGAAGAGAAATCTAGGACTGCTTCTCATCGACGCTAAAAAATTGAAAGACAAACTGACTCCATCACCAAAGCGCTGTCTGGAGGTAAATCCGTTCATATTAATAAAAAAAATTTTTTTCTCGACTTGCCAAGGCAGATTGCTACAATGGGTGTGATAGCTTAGGGCAGGGAGACATAGGCTGAGTTCAGACTGGCAGTTTGAAGCACCAGGGAGTCGTGGCAAAAAAGAGCCGGAGGGGGGGGGGAGGCACAAGGGAGTGTTCATACTGTTGGCCCGCCCCTGGTGAGCACCACATCCCTAGAGTTGGATTCGACTGGCTTTTGAGCAAGGGAAACCTTTACCTTTACTAAGTCTGTTGAGGATTGCATTTTAAGCATTATAAACCGCATGTGGAAACTAGTTTTCCCCCTTGAATTTTTCTCATAAATGTTATGTCATTTAACGTCTGCCTTTGCATTTTAGGTTATCAATGAAATGCTTCCCATAATTGCAAAGAAAAAAGTGTGTGCCATTCTAGCTGAGGCCCAAGATGCCAAATTTAGACTTGAGTTTTTGCCTACTACCACTACAGAATATGTGGCTTCCTTGACTTTCCTGGATGAAATCCAAGACAGGGTATGTTCCCTATACATCTACTGTTAAGTAGCATTGACCATCTTAGGAAATGCTTGCCACTTCATCTGTGCAAGAGAGCCATGCTTTGCTTATTTTTGGACTTCCCTTATCTTGCCTTCTTCCTGTCAATAGCTTTTGTACATTGAGAGCCTCATATTCTTTACTTTTAATTAAGCAAGAATGCAAGAAGAACCCAGCTGGAGCAGACGAAAGGCTCGTCTAGTCCAGCTTTCACTTTCCAAAAGTGGCCTGCCAGATGACCCCAGGAACTGTACAGACAGATTAACAGCCCCTTCTGTGTCACTTGCCTTAGGTCATTGAACCTCCGAGCAGAAAGTCAGCATAATGTGGACATACTAGGTCAGACCTTCCCCTCATGTCTCAAATGATGGAGACAAGTTGGAAAAAGGAACAGTGGGCACTATCCTCTTGCTCTGTAGCCTGTTGGCCTTCCTCCCTTCCCTGTTATCTAGAATAAAAGAGCTGAGAGAGGGGAACTGTGCTTTGTCATCCCTACTTTCCACTGCCGGGGAAGAGAGAAGGGAGGATAAAAGTAGCAGCTGAGATTGTCTCATGCCTTCTACAGATCTGGCAACCTAACGAATAGATGGGCATTTTCAGTAGTAAATATAATAAAATACCTGCTAATATCTGGTTTTGTTTAAATCAGAAGTATCTTACAGTTCTCCAATTCCCATTAAATGTGCTCAGAAACATCCCTCCTTAAATGATTCTTCAGTCATTTTATTACTCCCATAATCTTGATCGGCAAAGTAATTGTGAAAAAGATGTCTTGCATTATTGCCGGTGCATGAGGGCCTGTCCAAAGGTCACTCAGGAGTGTTCCTTCTTCCAGTGCTTTATTTTTCCATGTCAGAATGAATGGCAACCACACAGGACAGCGCCATTATGGTAGAGGCTGGAACAACTCGCTGTCTGTGGCGGCCCATGCATTCAGAATCAAGTTTTCCTCTCGTCGGCATAGCCCTACCCTTTTCCTCTGCATTGCACCAGCCTGAATTCGGTTTCCTAAACACATCAAGAGCATAACATAAAGTTGATAATTGCCTTTTTTATAGATAGGTAGGCAGAATTGTCTGTCTTTGTGTCTTTTTAAACAAATTGGAGATAATTATGTGTCAGTTTTTACATTTTTACATTTAACACTATATATTATGGCAATTTAGGAGTGCCAATGATATTGGTCTTGGCTTAAGATGGGTTTTCAAAATAAATAAAAGTATAATGGATTTTTCACACGTACCCCCAGATTGAAACTCTTGAGGATGAATCAAAAGTAGTGACACAGATGTATCAACTTATTGAACTGTATGCAGTACCAGCTCCTCCTGAAGATTTTGCTTTGTTTGCAACCTTGAAACCATCCATTGTGACTGTTCGCAATGCAATCGACAAATCCGTGGGTGAACGAGATTCCAGCATCGTTAAATTCTGTCAACTTTTAGACCAAGACGTTCATGAACTAAATGAAGAGGTTAAAGACGTGAAACGTGAAGCTGAGGTACGGGAACAATAAATCTTTTCGCTTCATGGAATGAATCTAACACAGAATTTGCCATTACAGCAGTATTACAGATTTCTGATGCTGCTGAATACTGGCGATTGCCCTGCTAGAGAGCAAAGGTGTACAACAACCAACAGTTTAGTGCAGTGGTATTCACCTAGCAGTTCGAAAGCAAGAAATTGCAAGTAGATAAATAGGTACCACTTCGGTGGGAAGGTAACAGCGTTCCGTGCGCCTCGGTGTTTAGTCATGCCGGCCACATGACCACGGAAACGTCTTCGGACAGCGCTGGCTCTTCGGCTTTGAAACGGAGATGAGCACCGCAACCCTAGAGTCGGATTCGACTGGCTTTCGAGCAAGGGAACCTTTACTTTACTTTATTCACTCTGTGGCTTGTGATGAGCCACATTCACAGATACTATCTACTAAAACAGCCACATTTAAATCTATTCCTGGCAACCCTCCACCTCGAAGAAGCCTTGCCGCTTATGCCTTCCTTAGACAGTGGCTGTTTCAAGGTGGAACAAGCCCTAACAGGCAAAGGCCTTGCCCACTTTCCTAAACCATGGGGCAGGTGCCAGATTGGGGGACAGGGCTCAGCAGAGCCGCAGGTTCCCTGTCAGAGAGCCACATGTGGCTTCTGAGCCACTGAGTATCATTGGTTTAGTGGTAGAGCATAGGCTTTTCATGCAAAAGATCCCAAGTCCAACCTCTGGCCCCTCCATTTCAAAAGATACAGAGCAGGCCTGGAAAAGACTACTGCATGAGACCCTAGAAAGGCACTACCAGCCCAGGTAGATGGCACTGGGGCCTGATGACCCACTAGAGAGGTGGATCCAACTATCCTCCCAGTAGCCTTCCTCCAACTTGAGTGGCTCCTC